GGCATGCACACTTTTGAAATGGGGGAAAGCGTTTCGAAAAGTTTGTTTGGATTTTTCCAAGGGGGAAAAGGAATCTGCCACACGACCAACCAACACCCCCTCCGCAGTTGGATGTGACACCATCGAGAAAGAGGTGTACTCCTTGGATATTTTGGGTTCTTTCGAGGAGAAAGGCAAGGTAAATAAATAAATATGTCTCTGAATTTCCAGAAAGTCCTGGCATCTCCTTATGCTCACCAACCAACCAACCAACCAACCAACCAACCAACCAACCAACCAACCAACCAACCAACCAACCAACCAACCAACCAACCAACCAACCAACCAACCAACCAAACCTCCTCTGCTCCCCCAAAGAAAAGCAGACCTTCTACACTGCAACGAAAATATGGTAAAACTAGGTCGCTTAAAAAATAAAATAAATTGCATCCACCCAGATCACATCCATAGTCTGTGCCGGTAGGTCCAACGGCAGTATGTCTCTCCCCAGATTGATACTGTCTGTTTTCTGAAGAAATGCCTTCGGAACAGGAACAATCCCAAAGTGACCCAAAGTCTGGACTTTCCTTCTGGTGGTGCCACACCTCCATCAGGAATGCGGGGAAATTTAGCATCATGATTTGCACCTGAATGTTGCCAAGCCCAGGTGAGCTGGCCATCCAAAAGGAAGGGAGAGGGCTCACCAGAGGACACCAAAGGTCTTCTCAGCCCTGGGTACAAGCTTCCCCTTTCCTCCCAAATGTACAGTTCTTGTCTCCTCCCACCACCCACTCCTATAGGGGTTGAATGTGTGAACACTCACTGGTCTCGGTTAGGAGGTTTTCTCAGCTGGTCTGCCATGAACCTGGCAGAGAAATTGTAGAAATTCAACATGTTCTGGAAGAAGGAGTCTTCGGAGACCTCATACTAGAGAGAAGGTGAGGAGGAAAGAGGATCGTTGAGATGAGGGCTTTTCCACCTCCGTGCTGTACGTGGCCTGCCTCAAACCTTCATCCAAGCACGCAAGCTTTGCTTTCCACAGGCAAGGAAACCTTTTTCCCCCCCAGAGCTGGAAGGCACATTTTGCCAGATAGGCCTTCACGCACATTTTGAAGCAGATTTGATTTTGATTTTTCTAGACTACAACTCCCAGAATCCTCATGGTGGCGAATTCTGGGTAGCTTCTCTGAACTTCATCATGAAGACATGTTGATTCTCTCAATACGCAGAGTGATCGTTAAGCAAGTTAGTTTCTCCTCACTCTTTCTGCCTATGCTTGGGCTCTGAAGGCAGAATTCTGGGAGTTGTAGTCCAAAAAGGTAGCTTCTCTGAACTCCATCATGAAGACATGTTGGTTCTCTCAATACGAAGACTGATCGTTAAGCAAGTTGGTTTCCCCTCACTCTTTCTGCCTGTGCTTGGGCTCTGAAGGCGTGTAGGCTACCACTGAACTGTGATTTCTCCTTGAACTGCTCTAGAAAGATCAACCACTATGATGGCACACCACAAGCGGGGAACTCCAGGGCCCATCTTCCATGTCCGGGAACCACTTCCAGTGGCTTCTGGTTTTTGGAATTCTGCTTCCAAATATATTTTTTTAATTTGTTTGTTTCTTTAGGGGACATTGGGAGTCTCTTGTGTCCTGTTTTAAAGCAAAAACGCTGTTCTTGGAAGCTTCCAGTAACAGAAAATTATACTTTTTCCCTGAAAAATATTTGGGTCAGGGGATGCATCAGGGCCCCCTGTGTCCACAGGATCCTCCAAGGGACCACGTATGGCCTGCAGACCACATTTTGCCCATGTTTATGATCCATCCTCTGTCAACGGCTGGGGTTCCCTTTAAGGCAACCAGCTTCCTTATTCCAAGAAGTGCCCCTTCTTCAGGAGGCCAGTCTATGGCCTGGGGTTCCTTTTTGCCACTAATCCTTGTCTCTTTTTACAGAGCAAAGAAAGGAAAAGTACTGAAAAGACAAGAAGTAGAGATCAAACAGGGGTCTTAAGTCATAAGGAGGTGTGAAAGGCCACAAGGACCCACACCATTTGCATCCTGCTGTTGTAAAGTGGTCTTTCGCTGCCCACATTTTAAAAAACCTGCACAAATGGCAGATCCAGGGAAGAAGGAAGAATTATGTACTTGTACAGGAGACATTTGTATAGAATGGCTGATGGTCAGATTCCAAAAGGTCTCCTGTATGGAGAATGAGTGCAGGGAAAGCACCCGAGAGGGAGACCCCAGCTGCGATACAAGGAGATCTGCAAGCGGGATCTGAAGGCCTTAGGAATGGATCTCCACAGATGGGAAACCTTGGCCTCTGAGCGTTCAGCCTGGAGGCAGGCAGTGCAGCACGGCCTCTCCCAATTTGAAGAGATGCTTGTCCAGCAGGCCGAGGCAAAGAGGCAGTCCCGGAAGCAGCAAAACCAGGGAGCTGGACAGGAGACAGATTGCATTTGTCTTCAGTGTGGAAGGGATGGTCACTCTCAAATTGGCCTCCTCAGCCACACGAGATGCTGTTCCAAGTCTTCCATTCAGAGCACATTACCATAGTCTCTCGAGACTAAAGGATGCCTAACCTATCAAAACACAAGTCACAGAATCATAAGAATAATTAAATTGGAAGGCAACTAGAAGGCCATTGAGTCCAACCCCTTACTCAAGGCAGGAATCCAAATCAAAGCAGATCCGACAGATGGTTGTCCAATTTTTTTTCTTTTAAATGCCACCAGCATTGGAGCACTCACCACCTCCGGAGGAGACAGAAGAAAAAAAAGAAAGAATGAAGGAAAAAAGAACTAAGAAAGAAAGAAAGAAGGAAAGAAAGAGAGAAAGAAGGAGAGAAGGAAAGGAAGGAAGGAAGGAAGGCAGGCAGTCAGTCAGTCAGTCATTGGACACAGCTTCCAAAATCATAGCCTGGAAAACTGACCCTTGTGGGTGAGAAAAGATGCTATCTTTAAAAAAGTAACTTATTCAAGTTTGGTGCAATACTGTACTGGTAAGCTGGCGAAGGGAGCAGAGTGTGCAGGAGGCCACAACGAGCCGGGTGTTAATGTGTGGTTGCGGGTACTGCATTTTGATGGCTGGAATTATGGAACCTACATATTCACTGAGAATATGAAGTGCAAAAGAAAAAACCATCAGGAATGCTTATGGTCTTCATGGTTTGTCTGGAAATGGAATTTTATTCTGAGCTTCCAGTCCTTCCGGGTCTCGACAGTGCAGCCTGGGGAGGATCTGTCGGACCTTTGGACCCTCACTTGTGGGGTTCTTCAGGGATCCTCGTTATCCCCAATGCTGATTAACATCTAGTCACTGGGGGAAATCATCAGGAGCTCTATCTGTCCTTTCCCACCCTTGTTGTTTAGTCGTTAAGTCGTGTCCGGCTCTTCGTGACCCCCATGGACCAGAGCACCCCAGGCCCTCCTGTCTTCCACTACCTCCCGGAGTTGGGTTAAATTCATGTTGGTCGCTTCGATGACCCTGCCCAACCATCTCGTCCTCTGTCATCCCCTTCTCATTGTGGAACAGTCATGGTAGAACACAGTTGAACATCTCACATATCTGAAAAGTCCTGTTGGGCTACCCTAAGCCGTCCGGAAGCAACGGACCAGCACATAAAAATAAGAGAGTCACAAGGCAGAGATCACTTCCCAGTTCCTTGTAGCATGCAAAAAAAAAAAATCAAGCTGCTAGGTGCTATCATTGCAGGGGGGGGGTTGTGGGAAAGTGTTCCCTCCCCTGCCTCCCCTGAGAGCCTTCAAAAGATTTATCTTCAGCACAGAAAGCCAGGCTATAGGATTTCGATTACAGCCCCTCCCCAGAGACTTCAAAAGATTTCTTGTGCTCGATGAAAAGGCATTTTATCTTGAAAGCTGATTCCACAGAGCATTCTGTGTCTTTTTAGTTTTTCCAAATGGCCTTTTTTTTTTAAAAAAAGGACCACCGCTGCACAAGGTTTCAGTATCCCTCTTGCAGCCAACATGACTTCCTCTGCAGTTTGCTTTTTTTTTTCTTTTCCTTTTTTAAAAAATGGTATGAAAACCATTGCCACCTGTTTGCTAGGAATCTATTCTGCAGGAAGAGGGCTGGGAGGTTGGAGGTGGGTGGGGGTGTTAAAAAACCAGTGGCATCTTTCATGGCTAACAAGGATGGTTCACATCATGTCAAAGGACAGATTCTTGGCAAACTTCCAGGCTCCCAGGTTCCACCGCGAGTTTTCTGCCTTAAAGACTGTAGGGATATCACTCCTAGTGCTTTGGAAATAGCTGTGCTTGTCTTAGACTAGGAGTGAATAGCCTTGCTCCTAGGCCTTCGGTGGCCTTCATCCACCCCCAGTACAGCCCCGCCCACGCCTTCCTCTGTAACCAGCTGACCAGTTTGATGGTAAGGGACAAGCCACTGGTGTGACGTTTGCAGAGAGTTGAGCAGCGATTTCAGGGTCAGACTAGACATTAAGGGAAATACATATTCCCTCCCATTGTCCTTCAACAATGAGATCTCCTCTGAGAGCCATGCTTCAGCCATTACCTTTGCAAATAAAGCATGTGTTTATCCGCTGATAACCAATCACAAACCAAAGCACGCTAAATGTAAGATACATTGGTGAGGAAAGTCATCTGCTAGCTAAGCGGTCATCTTTCGCCACTTACGCAGCATCTCTGCGCCGCCTGCTTTGCTTGTTTGCCTAGTCTAGTGGTTCCCAACCTTGCGTCACCCAGGTGTTCTCGGACTGCGACTCGCAGAAATCCCGGCCAGCACAGCTGATGGTGAAGGCTTCTGGGAGCTGTAGTCCAAGAACACCTGGGTGACCCAAGCTTGAGAACAATTGCTTAGGACCAATCAGGGTTGGGGAGAAGAAAGGGTAAAAGTTTCTTCCGTTGGCCAGTGCTGCTGCTGCTGAGAGCAGATGTTTGTTCTGCTGTTCTTTTTGGCAGAGAACCAGTGATCTTAATACCGAGTGGGGAACAGCTTCTTCTC